CCGCCCCCCAGCCCCCAAGGATTCCTTTGCAGCAGAAAGACAAGGTGCCGGAGAAGTAGGGTCTAATTTGGGGTCTGGGGAGGTGGACTGTTCTCAGAACCTCTCCCAAATCCTGCAAACAAACCACCACAGCCTCTGTGGGCATCATGGACAGTGACCTATTCCATCCAGGGGGAGGAAAGTGGGCTCGCCCTGGGCCCCGCCCCTCAGGGGGGCTGCTCCCTTTTAGGGTGGCCTCCCAGAACCCCATCCTACCCAGTGCCCAGCAGTCCCTGCTACTAAGGCCAGCAGCTGGGCATCACAAGGATTCCCCTCCTCCAGGCCCTCTAGAGGACAGGGCTTCTGGGACATGTCTAGGAAGCTGTCCCAACCTCAACAAAGAGCCTTTGTGGTGTGTGTGTGTGTGTGTGTGTGTGTGTGTCCGTCCGTCCGTCCGTCCGTCCGTCCGTCCCGTCCCACCAGCAGCTCTCTCTGAAGCCCTCTAATCTGTCCTGGCATTGACCCAGGTAGTGACCACCTGTTGACACAGGTGACTCACAGGATGCCTTCAGCCCAGCTATTCACCTCCTCTCCTGGCAAAGCCAAGGGCAGAACAGACGCCCAGCCCCCCTGTAAGGATCCAGCTTGACATAATTACAGACACAGCCATCTTGGTTTTGGGGTTTTTTTCAGTCCTGGGGCTAGAACTCAGGGCCTGAGAGCTGTCCCCAAGTTGTTTTTTTTTTTTTTGTTCTGTTTTGTTTTGCTCAAGGTTGGTGCCACTACCACTTGAGCCTAAGCTCCACATCTGGTCTTTTGGGTGGTTTACTGGAGACAAGAATCTCAAATTTTCCTACCTGGGCTGGTTTTGAAATATGATCGGCAGATCTGTCTCCTAAGTAGCTAGGATTACAAGTGTGAGCCACGGGTGCCCTGCTTGAGTTTTTGAGGTAGTTTTAGGTTCTGATTGGCCAGCTTTCATTCTATAAGTCCCTAAATTGTGCTGTAATGGGAACAGATACCTAGACATGCTATAGTTGTAGCCTAATGCCTATTTTATTGGCCAGGCGTGGGAGACTCATGCCTATAATCGTAGCTACTCTGGAGGCTGAGAGCTGAGGATTTTGGTTAGAAGCCAGTATGGGCAGGAAAAGTCCATGATCCTCTGCTTTCCAATTAACTACCAAAAAAAAAAAAAAGCCAGAAGTGGCCTGTGGCTCATGTGGTAGGGTGCTAGCCTCAAGCCAAAAAGCTTAGGGACAGCACCTAGACACTGAGTTCAAGCTCTGAGACAGGCACAAAACAAAGCAAATCCAAGTTTGTTAACCATTCCTTTCACACATTTATAAAAGTTTTAAACAGACTTTGGTTTTCTTGCTCTACCCTGGTGTGAGGGCGCTGGAGCATGTCTTCACGGCTCCAGACAAGCTCAAGCTCCTTTCCTTATCTCACAAGGAGTGAGCAGGGCCAGGCCAGCCAGGGGTCCAAACTGGGGAGCAGAGTGGGAATAAGCAGACCCCAGAAGGCACTGTCTGCCTCAAGTCCTGCCTCAGCAGCTACCTCCAGGAAGCCCACAGCCCTGGACTGTCCTTTGAAAACCCATCTTCCCACCACAGTTCTAAAGATAGGATTGTAGCTTCTTTTTTTTTTTTTTTTTTTTTTGGGGGGGGGTTCAGTCATAGGGCTTGAACCCAGGGCCTGAGCACTTTCCTGAGCTCTTTTGCTCAAGGCTAGCATTTTACCACTTGAGCCAAAGCTCCACTTTTGGTTTTCTGGTGGTTAATTGGAGATTAAGAGTCTGACAGATTTTCTTGCCAGGGGTTGGCTTCAAACCATGATCCTGAGATCTCAGCCTCCTGATTAGCTAGGATTACAGGTGTGAGCCACCAGCACCTGGTTTAGTATTGGAGCTTTTGAGATAGCTCACACCATCTTTATTTTGCCTATTTTACTTGAAAAAAATATATATATATATACATAAGCCGGGCACTGGTGGCTCATGACTGTCATCCCAGCTACTCAAGAGGCTGGGATCTGAGGACCACAGTTCAAAGCCAGCCCGGGCAGGAAACTGTGAGACTTTTAGCTTTAATAAACCACTCTAAAAACCATAAGTGACTCAAGGTAAATGCTTTACCTTGAGCTGAAGAGCTGAGGGAAAGCACCAAGGTCAAGAGTTCAAGCCCCACAATTGACCACACACACACACACACACACACACACACACATCTACCTTTATTTCATCTTCTCCAAAAACTCAGATCTCATTATTTGTGACTTGGTATTGAGTTCAAGGGACGGCCTTTGTGATATCAAATGTGGCACACAAAGTAAAGGACAAGGTCCTTGCCCTGAACCCCTGGACACTGGTAGAGCAGGAGGCGGCCCCGGGTCAAGCTCTGGGACAGCTCCGGCAGAGACCTCCATTCCTCCCCTTCCCCCCTCACTCCTGCTTCTGGAATGACTTAGGGAAAAGGACACAGGATCCCAGAAGATGTAAGGCCTGGGTCAAGCTTGGGTGAGACCTCGGTGGGCACCCCCAGACCCCTTGCTTCCACCCTTTGGGGTGGTCCCTGGGGGATGCTCTGGCTCTGTAAGGGCTTTTTGTGTGGTGGAAGTCAGGGATTGACTGTGAGTGGGGAATTAGGGGGACTTATTCTTGCCTGTTATCTTCCTCATTGGGTTACACAGTGACTGTTCGTTGGCCTGGGTTCGAGGGACAGCCCCCTTGTTTGTGTGATTTGTGTTTATGTGTCACATTTCTTATGGGTGTTGCTATGTCTCTTCTATCTGAAAAGCCCTGTAGGAGGGATATTGAGCAAGGGAGCCATCTATAGTTATAAGTCTATGACAAAGAAAGTAATAAAATTTTATTACAATACTGCTTTGCTTATGTATACTTTGAAGAATGAGGAAAGATGATCTTTAAGTAGAACTTGGAGTTATTACATCATTTTGCAGTTAGCGTCATTTTATCAGAAAGCAAGTAAATAAAATTCCCTTACTGGCATCTATACAGTTCAATAACAGAATCTAAGCAGGAAGAAACGAAGTTGACAGTACAAAGAAAATCTAAGTCTCCAGAGCACCAGAACCACCACCTTCCCCCCCCAAAAAAAGGTTAAGAAAATCTTATTACTTTTATTTATTTTTTTGGGTCCGGTCGTGGGGCCTGAACTCTGGGCCTGGGTGCTGTCCCTCAGCTCTTCAGCTCAAGGCTAGCCCTCTACCACTTGAGCCACAGCGCCACTTCCGGCTTTTTTCATTTTGCTTTATGTGGTACTGAGGAATCGAACCCAGGGCCTCAGGCATGCAAGGCAAGCGCTTTACCACTGAGCCATCTTCCCAGCCCAATCTTATTACTTTTGAGTATAGTTTAGCTTTTGGGCTGTGCCAGTGACACACACCAGTAATCCCAGCTACTTAGGAAAATGAGATTGAGGATTAAGTTTCTAAGTCAGCCCAGGGTAGGAAAGTCCACGACTCTTATTTCTACCAAAAAGCAAGAAATAGAGTTCAGGTGATAGAGTGCCAGTCTAGAGCAAAAAGGCTCAGGGACAGTCCCCAGGACTTGAGTTCAGGTACCAGTACTTGGCTCATACATACACACACAGGTGCACAAAAGATAGTCACATAGTCCTTTTGCATGGCAAAATTAATAACCTTTTGTCTTTTTTAATGTTTTTTTAGTTGTGGGGCTTGAACTCAGGGCCTGAGCACAGTCCCTCAAGCTCTTTCACTGAAGGCTAGCAAGTGCTCTTCCACTTTGAGCCACAGCTCCACTTCTGGTGTTCTGGGGGTTAACTGGAGTTCAGAGTCTCACCTTCCTTGTCCAGGTTGGCTTTGGACCACAATCCTCCAATCTCAGCCTCCTGAATAGCTAAGATTACAGGCAGGAGGCGCCTGAGCCAGCTTCCTACTGCTTTTACAATACTTCCCACCTCCCACCAGCTGACAGGTTGCGGGTGGGTCCTTCCACCCTTGACCTCTTCTTCACCGCCCCTGCAGTGCTACCCTGTCACCTTTGGCTTCGCTTTGGAGGTAGGTGCTCCCCGGCTGAACCCGCAGCCCACAGCCTCTGCCTGGCCTCACCGCCTCCCTCCGGCAGGCGCTCCAGGTCCCCTGCTTACAAGTGAACTTTCACCAGTGACTGTCTTGTCTTGGCTACTGCTTGGGTTGGTGAGCAGAGGAGGGCTGCCTTATTCCTTGTCGTGCGTGGAGCAGAGAGGCCACCGCAAACAGTTACGAATGAATGAGCCCATGCAAGTAGCTGAGGAAGGCCTGAGGCTGCAATCCGGCGGGGATGGGGACGGCGGGGACGGGGCCGGGCCTCCACCCAGGCCGGCGGGGACGGGGGACGGGGGACGGGGCCGGGGCCGGGCCTCCACGGAGGCCGGCGGGGACGCGGACGGGCCTCCCCCGAGGCCGGGCTCCGGGCGCTGCCAGGCCGCGCGTTGCCAGGGGTCGCCCCGGGCCGCACCGCGCCCGCCTGTGTGCGGTCACACCCAGCCCCGCACCGCCGCGGCGGGCGCCGGCCGGCCGTCCGCAGACGGGTGGGGACGGCGCCCAGCTGAGGACGCAGAGCCCGACGCGCGCACGCGGGACGGGACCGGACGGTCCGAGCGGAGATGGGGGCGACGCGGGATCCGTCTCGGGCCTCGCCGCAGCCTCAGTCCCAGGACGCGACGCGACCCCGGCGCGTCTTCCATAACACGCTGCTGTTCTACTGGAGGAAGCGCGAGCGCCCGCACGGCGTGCGCACTCCGGGCCCGGCGCGGGTCAGCAGGCTCCGGGAGGTGCGGGGGACGCGGAGGGCGCGGGGGGCCCGGGCCTCCGCCTCCGAGGCCGCCGCCGCGCGCTCCTCCCCGCCGCGCACGCGCGCCGCCAGCCCGCCCCGCGGCCCCGCCCACAGCCCGCCCCGCGGCCCCGCCCACAGCCCTCCTCGCGGCCCGAGCCCCGCCCCCGGCCCCGCCCCGCGCGCGAGCCCGGCTCCCCAGGGCGCCGCGGGCTCCGGCGGCCGCGCGCAGGCGGCGGCGCGCGCGCTGTCCTGGAGGCCGCTCTGGAGGCCGCTCTGGAGGCCGTCCTGGCCCGGCAGGCTGTGCGCGGGCAAGATGGCGGCGCCCGGCGAGCCTGCGCGCTCCTCCCGGGCCAGCCTCTTCTCCTTCCTGCCGGGAGGCTCGCGCTCCGAGGGGACGGACGACCTGGCGACCGACGCCCGGGGCCGCGGCGCCGGGCGCCGAGACGCCGTCGCCTCGGTCTCGGCGCTGGCCGCGGCGGCGCTGGGCGCGGAGGACGCGGCGCTGAGGCGGCCCTGCCGGGCCTGCGTGGACTTCAAGACGTGGATGCGATCGCAGCAGAAGGTGCAGACGCCCCGCACCCCCCGGCCCCCCGGGCCCCGGCCGCGCGTCGGCCTCCTCCGGGCCCGGGACCCCGCCGCCCGGACCGGGCCCGGGACCCCCCCGCCCGGACCGGGCCCGGGACCCCCCCGCCCGGACCGGGCCCGGGACCCCCCCGGCCCCGCCCCCCCCAACCCCCGGCCGGGCCCGAACTCTCGGCTTTGAGCCGCACTCGGCCCGGATTGGCAGCAAGACTTCCGTCCCCGGCCGGTCAGTGGGCTGTTGGCTGAGGCTGGAACGAAGGGGGAGCGTTTTCTTTCTTTCTGTGCCTTCCCCCCACCCCCGCCCCCGGCTATGTGGTGCTGGGAGTTGAACCTACGGCCTCGAGTAGAGCGGGCGCTCTGCCACTGGCCTTCCTCGAAGGGGGAGCTGTGTGTGGGCTTGTGTGTGGGGGAATGAACTGACCCTTGGTCGGCCTACTTCTGCAGCGGGACATCAAGTTTAGGGAGGATTGTCCACAGGATCGTGAGGAACTGGGTCGCCACAGCTGGGCTTTCCTTCACACGGTGGCCGCCTACTACCCTGACCTGCCTACCCCGGAACAGCAGCAAGACATGGCCCAGTTCATGCGTTTATTTTCCAAGTTTTACCCGTGTGAAGAGTGCGCTGAAGACATAAGGAGGAGGTAAGCGGTGCTGTGCCTCTGGGGGAACAGAGCCACACCCCAGACCTCAGAGGCCAGCCAGCCTGGAGGCTCCCAGGAAGGGCCTCCCCACCACTTCCTATGTTTAGTTAGCACTTAGGGGCTTCTGGAGGCCCCTTAGCTCTAGGACTCTACTTCTGCCTAGCTTCTGGAGTTGGAATGCTGGCTTTAAGAACTTGGGAATTTGGGGGCTGGGAAGGTGGCTCAGTGGTAGAGTGCTTGCCTTGCATGCCAGAGGCCCTGGGTTCAATTCCTCAGCACCACATAAGCAAAAAGAAAAAAGCCGGAAGTGGCACCGTGGCTCAAGTGGTAGAGCGCTCGCCTTGAGCTGAAGATCTGAGGGACAGTGCCCAGGCCCAGAGTTCAGGCCCCACGACTGGACCCCCCCCCCCCTCAAAAAAAAAAAAAAAAAAAAAAGAACTTGGGAATTTGAATTTAGAGGTGCCCTGGTTGGTTGAAGCCTGAGGCTGCTAGAATCAGGTCTTCTCCTAGGTCAAGCACTAGGGCCTCCGGTGCTAGCAAACAGTTAGCTGGTTGTGCCAGGCCCCACCCCTTTGTGGCCTGCCAGAGACTGGGGTGAGGCTGCCTGATTGTTACAAGGTTGTAAAGTTGCCTAGTGTCTGCTTTAATGTCTTGCCCTAGGCTGGCTCTTAGCTGGGTTTGCCAAGCTCCCCAACTGGGTATGTGAACTCTTGATGGAGTCCACCCACGCTGGAAACTACAGGGTCAGGCCTGTGCTTGGCATCCCTGTCCCTTGGAACATGAGGGCCCTACCAGGTGTAGCTCACTACAATGCCCCAGCTCGTCAACAAGCCTGAAGAGTCACCAACTTGCATTTGGGGGTGAGGAAGGGAGGTATATACTTATGTTAGAGCTTGAACTCAGCGTCTGGACACTCTGCCTGGTGAGCTTTTTTGCTGGCTTAGGGTTAGGGTTACCACTTGAGCCACAGTTCTACTTCTGGTTGTTTGATAGTTAATGGAAGAGTCTCACAGACTTTTCCTGCCCTGGCTGGCTTGGAACCATGATCCTCAGATTGCAGCTTCCTGAGCAGCTAAGATTACAGATGTGAGCTCTGGGCACCCGCTAACCACCACCTTCTTCCTTCCTGTGCTTCCCTCCTGCAGGATAGACAGGAACCAGCCCGATACCCGCACTCGGGCGTCCTTCTCCCAGTGGTTGTGCCGACTGCACAATGAGGTGAACCACAAGCTGGGCAAACCCACCTTCGACTGCTCGAAGGTGGATGAGCGATGGCGTGACGGCTGGAAGGACGGTTCCTGTGACTAAAAGATGGACAGCCAGAGCCTGGGGGGTGTGGGCGGATGCCAGACAGAGCCTTGTGGGTGGCCTGGCTGGAGAAGGGTGTGCGGGGAGCTGATTAAAGTGCATCTGAGCCAGAACCTGTCATCTCCGTGGGATGGACCCCTCCCCTCAGGTCGGAGAGTAGAAGTGGAGGTAGTCACTGTCGGTGCCTCTCCGTTGAGGCCTGGCGGGGCTGCAGATGAGGGACGCAGGAGCAGCCGCACCGCCCCTGCCATTCCGTCTGCAGTCTTTTGTCCACCCTGTGTTCTAAGCCAGAAGGCCGTGGGCCTGGCTGCAGCACCCGGCACCTGCCTTGTGTGGTCCACCTGTGCCTTCCCACCCACCGTCTGGGTGAGGAACCTGCAGAGCTGTGGCTCTGCTATCGCCACTTGAGGATTGAAGCCTAAGTGTGGGCTTTCCCTCGGGCAAAGGTCCGTCCACCTTGCTGCCTCCTCACTGCTTGGGACATGGCCTTCCGTAACTGTGCCAGTCCTGTTAGCAGGGGGTTCTGGGACGGCTTCCTCAGAGTCTTAAGACCAAAATTAAATGCTGGAGGTGATGGAGGGTCTGGTCTTTGTGTGCTTTGTGCTCAGGGGTGGGCCCGCTTTCGGCTCTGGACTCCTCTGGCTCCTCCTGTCTAAGGTTTGGCTCCACGGGAGCAGGAGAAGGTACCAAGGTGGGAGCAAGCCAGAGTGGCTCCAGAACGGCAAGGAGGCCCAGGGGCTGGGGGCAGAGGCCAGATAGCAGAGGACACTGAGCAGGGGGGGAGGGGAGGCCCAGGCAAAAAAAATAAATAAAAGCCCAGGGCTTCAACCAAGGAGTAGCAGGGTGAGGAGCTGGAGATGAATGATGCAGGAGGGAAAGTGGCTTTGAAGCTGGGGAAGCTCTCTAGGGTGGAGGAAGTAAAACCAGAGAATTCCCAGGGTGGAAAAGGAGTGGAAGACGGGCTGTGGCCAGGGAGCTGGCCGCAAGGACTTGCCGAAGGCAGTGTATCAAGTTCAGGGTGACCTGGACTCAGCTTTTATGTTCTCCCCGTCCCCAGGCTGTGTCCCAACCAGAGTAGCCAGGCTGCAGTGTGTGATCTGGAAGCCCCTGGCACTTTTGACTGCCTGGCATCTCAGGTAGAGAAGCCGCAGCACTACACCTGGTGGCCAGGTGACCAATGGAGACTAAAGCAGTTAGAGAGAAGTGGCTCCTCCCCGTTCAGGGTTCATCTGCCTCTCCCTTTCCCCCAATTAGTGTGTGAACTTGGCCTGTCTCGGTTGGTGGTTGGTAGGAGCTGTCACTTGACCCACACTCCCAGCCCTCCTTTGCTCTAGTCCTTTTGCCTAAAGCTAGCCTCCAATCAGGGCTCTTTCTTCCAACACTCCCCACCCTGTCTGGATTGGAGAAGCTCACCGTGAGCTTGGTTTACATTGTAATCTCTGACGCTTCCACTGAGGCTGGCCTGGTACCACCACGTTCCCCTGAGTGTGTAGGGTTATAGTTGTGGACCACCTACTCTGTCCAGCCCCCTCTGGCATTTCTTGGGACTTTTCTTCCTGTCTGCCGTGGAACTGGGAGGGATCCCACTAGACCCACGATCCCCTCAGCACACACAGCCCGACGGCGTTCCGGGCGTCCAGGCCAAGACCAGCGGACCCAGGGGGAGTTCTGCCTCCAGCTGGCATCCGAGAGGTGTTGGCACAGAGAAGGGAGTGAGCGTGGAGGGGGAGGAGTCCCAGGACCACATTCTGGGCTTCAGTTCACAAGGAGGGATCCAAAACCCGGGAGGGAAGAGTGCGGCATGCCTGCGACCCCAGCTGTCGGGCCGCCCTTGAGTTCAGGTGGGCCCCAGGGGCGGGGCGCGCAGGGCGCAGGCGCACAGGTGAGCGCCCGGGCCGGCTGCGTCAAGTGCGGGTGGAAGGCCAGGGGCGGGCGGACTGCGGCCGCCCGGCCCGGGGGCCGGGGGCGGGGGCGGGGGGCTTCCTGTCAAGGAGACTAGAACTCTCTGGAGAAGCTGGGGCCCAGCGGGGTCACGGGGAGACCCCGGAGCCTGACTCCAGCCCAGGCCTGCCTCAGTTCCCCCTGCTCGGGGGCGCGGCGCGGCGCGGCCCCGTTCGGCCTCCGGTGGGGCCCGGAGGACGCGGGCAGGTGAGGGCGGGCGGGGCCGGCGAGCGCCGGGGCGCAGGGACCCAGCGGGGGGCGCCTGCCGCCCCGCCCCGCCCCGCGCGCCCCCGCCCCGCCCCGCGCGCCCCCGCCGCGGCCCGCGCGCGCTACCGGGAGACGGCGGCGGCGGCGGCGGCGGCGGCGGCGGCACGGCAGCATCCCGCGGCCTCGGGCGGGGCCGGCCGGACCCACGGACCCGGAGCCTCGAGGGCCGCCATGGAGGGCGCCTCGTTCGGCGCGGGCCGCGCGGGGGTCGCCCTGGACCCCGTGAGCTTCGCGCGGCGCCCCCAGACCCTGCTGCGGGTCGCGTCCTGGGTGAGTGAGCGGCCCGGCCGCCCGGCCCCCCTCCGCGGCCCCCCTCCCCACCCGCCCGGCCCCGCCGCCCCCTCCTCACCCCCCTCCCCACCCGCCCGGCCCCGCCGCCCCCCTCCTCACCCCCCTCCCCGGCCCCGCCGCCTCGCCCCCCTCCTCACCCCCCTCCCCGGCCCCGCCGCCTCGCCCCCCTCCTCACCCCCCTCCCCACCCGCCCGGCCCCGCCGCCCCCCTCCTCACCCCCCTCCCCACCCGCCCGGCCCCGCCGCCCCCCTCCTCACCCCCCTCCCCACCCGCCCGGCCCCCTCCTCAGGTCCCCTCCGTCCCCTACCCGCCGGCCCCCTCCTCGCCCCCCTCGTCCCCTACCCGCCCCGGCCCCCTCCTCGCCCGCCCGGCCCCGCCGCCCCCATCCTCACCTTCCCCCGCCCGCCCGGCCCCCTCCTCACCCCCCTCCTCGTCCCCTACTCGCCCCGGCCCCCTCCTCACCCCCTCCTCACCCCCCTCCTCGCCCCCGGCCCCCTCCTCGTCCCCCCCCTGGCCCCTCCTCGCCCCCGTCCCCCGCCCCGTCCCCCTCCTGGTCCCCTCCTCGCCCCCTCCCCCAGCCCTCCCCCTCCGCCCAGGTCCAGTGACGTCACCCGGCGCGCCCCCGGCCTGCCCGCGCGGGAGGGCGGGGGCTCGGGGACCTTGAGAGGTCACCGCGGCGGCTCGCTCGGAGCCCACCCCCCGCCCTGCCCGCGGCGCCTCTGCTCTTCCGGTGGGGGCGGGGAGGGGGTCTCGAGGGGCCCGCTGTGAACGGAGGAGCAGGGCTCCCTACGGACGGGGTTGCCAGAAGGTTCTGCACCCCGTGAGGGCTTCCCGGAGGTGGCGTGGCGAGGAGGGGGCGGGCGCGCGGCGGCGGCCCCTCCGCCCCGCAGGCAGCGGGGTGCCCGCACCTCCACGCCGTCCTGGCAGAGGGCGGGGCCGGGCTGCGGGTGGGGCGGCCGCACCCAGGCCCCGCCCCGCCCCGCCCCGCCGCGTGGGGTGACCGGACCAGAACCTGGACCCGGGCCCCTCCGGGCCCCGCTTGTGCCCCGGGGCGCATGGCACGCCCCGACCTCTTCACCCCGAGCTGGGCGGGTCGGAGGAGAAATGATGCCGGGGAGCCGGGCCCGTGTCCCGGGGCGGGGGGAGCCCCGGGGAGCCGGGCCCGTGTCCCGGGCGGGGGGAGCCCCGGGGAGCCGGGCCCGTGTTCCGGGGCGGGGGGAGCTCCGGGGAGCCGGGCCCGTGTCCCGGGTGGGGGAGCTCCGGGGAGCCGGGCCCGTGTTCCGGGGCGGGGGGAGCTCCGGGGAGCGGGCCCGCGGCCCCGATCACCCTGGACGTGGAAGAGGGCCTGGCCGGCCGCTCGGGGCCGCCGCCCCTGGCCCGCGCCCGTCCCCAGCCCCGTCCTGACTGCGGAAGGCGGGTCACGCCGGTGCCGGCGGGGCTCGGGTCTGCACACCCCGCCGGGGCGCGCGGACACGCCCGGCCGGAGCCCTAATCGCCTCCATCACCGTCCGTGATTTTTATTTTTGGGCGCGGGATCCATGAGCAAAACCCCTGTGAACGCGGGGTTTTAGCACGGGCTTGGGGGGTGAGCCGCTCCCCATCTCCGGCTGTCAGTGAGGACGGAGCACGGGGCGGGGGTCTGGGGCGGTCCCGGCGACGCGGGCGAGGCGGGGTCTCCCTGGCCGCTGAGCACCGCCCGTCCCCGCCCCGCAGGTGTTCTCCATCGCCGTGTTTGGGCCCATAGTCAACGAGGGCTACGTGAACGCCGACAGCGGCCCGGAGCTCCGCTGTGTCTTCAACGGGAACGCGGGCGCCTGTCGGTTCGGCGTGGCGCTGGGCCTCGGGGCCTTCCTGGCCTGCGCCGCCTTCCTGCTGCTCGACGCCCGCTTCCAGCAGATCAGCAGCGTCCGCGACCGCCGCCGCGCGGTGCTGCTGGACCTGGGCTTCTCAGGTGGGCGGGGCCGCGCGGGCGGGGCCTGGGCCGACCCCACGTCCAATCAGAGTGCGCGCATGCCCGCGTCCCGCCGCCGCGCTCCCGCGGTCGGGGCGGAGGGGTGGGGCGCGGGCGCGGCGGGGCGCGGCGGGGACTCGGGGGGGGGGGGGGGGGCCGCCGCCCCTCCCCTCCGCCCGCCCCTCCCCTCCCCGCCCGGCCGCCGCCCGACCTCCGGCCGCCGCCTGACCTCCGGCCGCCATCCCCGCAGGGCTCTGGTCCTTCCTGTGGTTTGTGGGCTTCTGCTTCCTCACCAACCAGTGGCAGCGCACGGCTCCCGGGCCCGGCACCGCGCAGGCGGGGGACGCCGCGCGCGCCGCCATCGCCTTCAGCTTCTTCTCCATCCTCAGCTGGGTGAGTGTGGGCCCCGAGGGCGGCCTGCGGGCGGGAGATGCCCGACCGGCCGCCGCTGACCCCGGCTCCCTGCCCAGGTGGCGCTGACCGTGAAGGCCCTGCAGCGGTTCCGCCTGGGCACCGACATGTCGCTCTTCGCCACCGATCAGCTGGGCGCCGGGGCGGCCCAGGCCTACCCTGGCTACCCGGTGGGCAGCGGTGTGGAGGGCACCGAGACCTACCAGAGCCCACCCTTCACCGAGACCCTGGATACCAGCCCCAAAGGGTACCAGGTGCCTGCCTACTAGTGGTTGGCAGGCTGGGGCCAGGGCTGAACGGCCACCCCACCATCGCAGGCCTCAAGGCCTCTGTCCGGTCCTCCCTGCCAGCGTCAGGGACAGAGAAAGTGGCCATTGTGGGCTTCTGGGGCCTAAGACAGGGCAGCCTCCCCAAGGTGCCCGGGCCCTTCAAGTTCAGTCAGCCCCAGGCCTGAGGCCCTGACAGGACAGCTTGGCCTCCAGCGGACTGGCCCGGGAGAGGTCAGCTATCCTGGGACTCGCTTGTCCACTCACGAGCAGAAGTCCGGCCGCACCCCTGTGGCTGGGCGCAGGGGCTGCCTGGGACTAGAATGGGGACTAACCCCACCCAGCAATCGCTCCCTATCACGTGTCTGTGGGCCGTGGCTGTCCTTGATCCTGTCATGTGGTCCTTCCATTTCTTCTTAAAGGTTTGCCAGTCCATTTCTTCTTAAAGGTTTGCCAGAGCAGCTGGGCCTGTCAGTGTTGTGATTGTGGTCAAATCTCCAGGTCTCATCTCCTAGTGCTCTGCAAGCTGCCTCTCTCTCTCTCTCTCTCTCTCCCTCTCCCTCCTCTCTCTCTCTCTCTCTCTCTCCTCTCTCTCTTGCCCAGGTGTGGGTAGTTCTGACCAGGAAGGCACAGACAGGCCTGAGCACCAGCCCTTCAGTAAGACCTTGCCCAGGGGAGGAGGGGGGGGACACGTGAGTACTGGAAGCCAAGCCTCAGAGGCCTCTCACAGGAGAGGCCTAGGCCCATTCCAGCTATCCATGGTGCCCCTGGAGACCACCATTCCTACAAACTGCTTTATCTTTGCTTTGTGGACTAGTCCTTCCCTCCCTCCCTCCCCAGTACTGTTTTAAGGCCCAGCCCCTGGTGGGGGTCCTTGTAAGTAGTTGAATACTCATGCATTGCTTGAAGCTGGCTTTTCACATTAAGTCGAAAGCAAACACATTGCCATATTTCATTCTTGCAGACAAGATGCCTCCCTCTGGAGTTGCAGTGGAGTGACAGCCCTGTACATTGTAGCATAGGTCAATATGTGGATATTTAAGTGGACATGTTTACAATTTTTGTATGTGTAGATCACCCCTCCCTCTTCTGAAAAAAACAAATCTGTGATTGTTTCTCTGGTGTCCTGTTATGACTGCAGCTTCTTTACAATAAAGACTGTGTGTTGACCATATGTGGCCACTCTTAGAATCATTTCTGCCCTTCCCGTGCCTGGTGCCAAGGGCTCCTCCTCTTCCTCCTATTGCTTAGAATTCCCTAGTATAGATCTACACAGCAGTTTAGCGATTCACCCAGTGAAGGGAATCTGGGTTGCTTCCAGTTGGGGGAGATTACATATACAACTATTATGTCACTCAGAGAGGTTTTTGCTTGAATGAACATAAGTTTTATTTCTCTGGGATAAGTGCCCAAAAGCACAATTGCCGGGTTGTACAGTAAGTGCACATCTAGTTTAAAAGAAACGGCAAACTGTTTTCCAGAATGCTTAACTCCTTGAATAACTGATGTGCACTGTACAGAATGGCCTTTATTTAATGCAGTAGATCTCTCTTCCCGGACCCCAGGCACTGCCCACAGTGCTAGGGCTTTGTGTATCTTGCCAGAGACACCTGTGTGTATATCAAGCAGAACTTTTGAGCAAACTCCCTTTCCTTAATGTTAACATTCAGTGTTTTTTTGTTTTTGCTGCTTTTTGGTCCTGAGGCCTGAACTTTAGGCTTGGGCACTGTTTCTCAGCTCTTCAGCTCAAGGCTAGCACTCTACCACTTGAGCCATAGCGCCACTCCCGGCTTTTTTCTTTTTCCTTATGTGGTGCTGAGGAATCGAACCCAGGGCCTCAGGCATGCAAGGCAAGCACTCTACCACTGAGCCACATTCCCAGCCCTGAAATGGGTATTTCTTGAAGTTAGATTTGAGTGCTCAGTCAAGCATGGCCATGTCTGTTCCTGGAACACTGGGCAATGCCAGGCCACCAACAGGGGTCCTGGGACCTGGGACCTGAGACCTGAGGCTGATGGCCCCTTCCTGAGAGCAGACCCCACCCACCTAGCTTCCCGGCAAGCTGCCTGCTGGCAAACCCATGCTGCCGCATCTGAGGAGCTCAGGTGGCCCAGTGGCCGGGGGATGGGGTGGGTGGTCACTCAGAGAGCAGACAAGCACAGGACAATGGCTATGTGCAGTACTGCAAAATAAATTTATTTGAAGATAAACTGTCTTATAAAATGTCAGAGGCAATGTGAGATCCCAGATACAGCTTGTCTCATAAAAAGATTCAACTTCAAGTAGCACAATTTTGTGTCTGGTTTAATCTGGACCATTCTGAATTATCAAAGAGCCAACTGCTTACACAACACGCTCAACCTGTGACTCCAGCACCAATGGGCCTGCGGCTCTGAGCTCTGGGGCTGCGGGCTCGAGGCCAGGCACCCACTGTGGGCCCTGGGCCTGACCCCAGGCTCCCATCTCCGCACCCTGCTCTTTCGCTCCCCTGGCACCTTACAAAACACGAAAAAGCACACGACAGTGCCCACTACCGAGCAGAGGACGGGACTTCTGAGTGTGCACGTGGCACATGGCAGCCCTTCCTGGTGACTGCTGGCGGCCTGGCCAGCCAACGGGCCTGAGCAACAGCCTCATGGGAGCCCTGCCTAGCTGCACGGCAGCTGGGAGGGGGAGGAGGGAGACGCAGGGTGCGAGCCCCGGCCCTCGCTGGCAGCAGCAGCTACGTGATGATCCTAGCAATGGCTTGGAGAGAGGGAAAGTCATCCTCGCGGGCTGCATGCAGCGCCTGGTGGTTCTTGACGTCACCATGTGCGAGCACCTGCTGACAGGTGGTGCACACACAGCAGTCCAGGCCGGCCTGCGGGGCGCTGGCCTGCCACGTACTCCTCTTGTTCTTCTTGGATTTGGCGCCCACGGGCTTCTCGTGGCTGCAGAAGTCGGCGTGTGCGGACAGCAGCTCCTGCTGTTTGGCTGTGTCCGGCAGCAGCACCAGCAGCTCGCTGAAGATCTTCTGGAAGTTCTCCCCGAGCAGGTCCCGGCAGCTCTTATAGTACTGTGCTGCAGAGACCATCCCCTGGTGCCAGAAAGCCATGCCAGTCACTCCCGGCCTGGGCCCAACAGGCCGTCCTCCCGGCCCCGGTCAGCCCGGCCCCGCTCACCTGTCGGAACTCTCCCGAGTGGCTCTTGAACTTGCTGAAGCGGGCCTCATCGCTCTGCAGGAAGTCTTTGATGGACTGGATGAGCTGTAGGTTCCTTTCCCGGAAGTTCTCGGGCACCAGGTAGGCCTGGGGTGTTGTGGGTGGCAGCCTGGGTCTGGGGTCAGATGGCGACGATGAGGCTGCCGCATTTCAGGTGGCTGGAGAGGGTGGCGCCCTCTGCCAAGCCCCCTGGTGGGCCTGGCGCCCGCCTCACTTACGCTTTGGCGGTGGTGGCGGGGCTGGGGGCACAGGGTGTCTGGGAGCTGGGCAGGAGGCTGGAGAAGCCAGGCGGCGGCTTGCTGGCAGGAGGCACCAGGCCTGGCGGTGGCGGTGTGCCCTTCAAGAGCACAGCGGTGTTGAAGCCTGGGGCGAGTGGAAGGATCTGAGCGAGCTGGCCAAGGCCCCCAGGCTGCCTGCACCCTGCCAGCCTATCTACAGGCTGGGGCAGGCTCATGCTGGGGCAGCCTGGCTTGCCTGACAAGGTGCTCTGGACGGGTCAGGGGAGGGCGCAGGGTTATGCGAGGTGAAGATGCTCCCTGCCTTCCAGCTGTTCCCAGGCCGCCCCAAGCCCACCGCGGTGGCCCTGCCCCGCGCCCCGGCGCTGCCATCTCTGGGCTCCAACCTGATGCCACCACCCTAGCCCTTCTCGCTCGGAGCGCCGCCAGCGTACCTGGCGGGGGAGGCATCCTCGGGGGTGGGCAGGGGCCTCCAAGTGCCGGGAAGTCTTGGCGGGGGGAGCAGGGGAGGGGCCCCACGGGCCTTGGGAGCCCCGGGGGTTCCTTGGGGACGCTCTTTGCCAGGACCATCCCCTCCGTGTGTCCATTAACGAGGACGCCTAATGGCGGGCCCTCTGTTCCGCCTGGAGGGGCTTCAGGGGCCTGCTCCGCCCCAAGGGGCTTTGGGGTACGGTTGGGAGGTAGCGGTGGGGGCGATGGAGCCTTGAGCTTCTCGGAGCCCACCTTCTTCTTCCTGCCGACCTTCGCGGCGCTGGGAGTGGCCGCGGGCGGCGGCAGGGCGGGGGGCGCAGCGCGCTCGGGCGCAGCGCGGCTGCCCCGCTCCTCCGCCTCCACGGGGGGCGGGCCGCCCTTGCGCCCACCCCTGCCCCCCTTTCCTGCCTTCCTCGAGAGGTGGGCGCCCCCACCCACAGCTTGGACCGCTGGGGGGGGCGGGGCCCCCTTTTTGCTACAGCTGTTGTTCCAGGCAGAGGCAAGGCTGGGGGGCCCGGAGCTGGGCTTGGACGAGGAGGACACGAGGGCAGGGAAGTCTTCCTCCTGGAAGGTGCTCCTGCCCCGCACAGGGCCGGGGTACGCCAGCGCCAGCCCCACCGTGCTTGGGGCGCCTGCTGCGGGGCAGGAGGAAGTGGAGGCACAGAGACTAGGGAAGTCTTCATCCTTGAGTTTTGGGGTGGGCAGCGGGAGGGCGCTAGGTCAGGAGAGAGCAGAGCTGGTCAGGGACACGCCAGGCCCTGGCCAGCGCCCCACACAGGTACTCCCCCCCCCCCCCCCCGCGGGCACACACCTGGGAGCGCCGGCCACCGCGCCAGGGCCTGCGGCCGGGAAGGCTTCCTGGTTCACAGGCCCGTTTGCTGAGGTTTCTTTGGGGCCTAGGAGACCAGAGGCACCATCAGGCCTTGGGGATGGGCTTGGGGAGAACGCAGGGGGCTGGGGGGGGGGGGTCCCTGGCATGCTGCCGGGCCCGGGCTGCCCGCTCTCCGCCCTCCCCACAAGGCCTGGCTCACCTGGGCCTTCTCCCTGAGGCCGGGGCAGGCGTCGGGAGCCTCGGGGCTCCTCAGGTGCCCGGGCTGCCGCTTCCTCCTTCTTGGGCCTGCCACCCTCCTCTCGGCCCTCACTCCTCCGAGGGTCCTCCTGCTGCTGGGCGGCCACCGAGGCCCGGATGGCGGCAGCCACCTCTCGGTCCTCTTCTTCTCTGGGGGGAGGGAGGAGAGGCTTCAGATTGTGAGACAGGCCAACCTGGCACAGCTGTGCGTCTAGGGCCTTCTGTCCCAGCCTCCTGGCTGCGTCACCACCCCTTCCCCTGGGCATGGCGTCCCTGGCTTCCACCAGGGAAGGGCCAGAACGTTTTGCTCACTAAGGACACACAGCAGATCCTGTTGGCACCCCAAGATCCTGAGCCAGAGCCCCTGCCCGTGTCCTTTCCCAGCGCAGCTGGTGGCCGTGCCACCGCCGGTGGGTAGCACCAAAAGAACGTCAGCGGCGCGCGCGCGGGTCGGCCCACCTCTTGTACCTCCAGCTTCCTCGGCGGCTCTGCTGGGCGCCGCGCCCGCTGGCCCGGCCCGCGCGGCCCTGGCGGCTGTACCTGTCCACCTCCTCGTAGTCCTCGCCACTGACGACCCCTGCATCGGCACACAGCCCGTCACCCGCCCGGCCTCGGAGGGCCGCAGGCTGCACGAAGGGCGGCGCGCCCGCAGCCCCTGGCCGTGGGCACACGCCAGCGGCGACTCGACCTGCGGCCCCGAGTCAGAGGCGCAGCCAAGCGGCGCTCAGCGTCCGCATGCGGAGAGCCCCAGAACTCCAGGCGCAAGACGCCGAGAGGCAGGCGGGAGGGCGCTCCCGGCGCCCACGGGCGCGCAGTGCCGGGGCGCAGGCGGGGCAGCTCCTCCCCGCAGTCACCAGGGACCCCGCACACCACCCGGAGCCGGGCCGCGCCGGGCCGAGCCCCGATCGCGCGCTCACCCTCACTGCGGCGGGAGTGCCGCGGCGCGAAGCTGAACTGCAGGTCAATCTGGCGGTTCTGGCGCGCCTCCGCGCGGCTGCGGCTGTGGCAGGCCGTCTTGTGCGCCTTGAGGTCGATCTCCGTGCGGAAGGCGTGGGTGAACTGCTCCGTGCTGCAGCGGCCCTCCTCACACAGGAAGTGCTTCTCCCGGAAGTGCTCGCGCAGGTACGTGTAGTCACTGAGAGAGTGGGGTGTCACGGGGTGCCCTTACGGCTGCCCGTGTCTGGAGGGTCACCTGGCC